AGGAGGGGAGGGGAGAGAGAAGTGGATGTGGGGGAAAGGGGCGCGGGAAGAGAGTAGTAGTGGCAGCTGGAGGCAATTATCCATTCATACGTGCACACACTCGACGATGGCCTTTTATATGATGACGGCCTTATGAAATGAGAGCTGATTTCGCTCCCCATATCCCTAACTTGGCGCGTTATTAGCCCTCCCAGCCCCCCCCCCCCTCCCTCTACGTTTGTCGTTGTGCTCGTAACAAAGGGGTGGGAGGTGTACTTCTGTGATGCTGGGCGGCGTAGCATAGCATCATCCGCCCCCTTATCACAGAGCCAAGCATTATATACGTTTGAAAGATGTTAGACAGTCCCCCCTGTGGCTGTCACAAACCGAACGGGAAAGCCTCCCGTTTTGGCAAAGAATGCCGCTGACCCGCTCCAGTTTTGATACCAATCACTTCCAGCTTTTGTTAAGACAATCTGTCATCGAGATAAATCTGATTGTCGTGCTTTCTGCTTTAAATTTAAATAAGAACAATGTTGCGTCCAGCAAAGATGCGTTCGAAGCACATCTCAAATGGATGCAAGTTGTGTACAAGTTGCTCCTAGTCCAAGTACGTACAAATAACTTCTCTTGTGTCTAGTTTAGAGACAAAATTAATTTTCATCAGATTGAGATGTGCTTAAGAACGCTCGCTGACCTGCAAATCTATCTTTATAACAATAATACAGGGTGGTCCACAGACCCCTTCCTTTTGCTTATACTGTACAGGATGCAGGCGTGCGGACGGCTTGCATACTCGCACGGGGCCATAAGGCGCCCATGGTGAGCGACAGTAGGCAAGCCCGCCCGCACGCGAGCATGCGGTACAGTAAGCAAAATAAAGGAAGGGGTCTGTGGGCCACCTTGAATAACAATTTAAACTACAAAACTAGGTGGTTCAACAGTTTAAACTGCGTAGGGTTAGTTTGACAGTTTAAACTGTTGAACTACCCAATTTTGCAGTTTAAATTGTAGAACCTTTAAGTATCGCAGTTTACACTAAGACTTTTAGTTCCACAGTTTAAACTGCAAGACTTTTAGTTTCGCAGTTTAAACTGTTTGCAGAGAGGATACAAAGTTACTGTCCTTTCCCATTTAAAGGGTAGAGTAATTTAGATGTTAGTTTTATTTGCTCTCATATCGGTCAACTTATTCTTCACCTTATTTGAAAAGTGACTTTAAAAGAGAATATTCTCT